CTTTGTTGATTTTTGCTATTTGTTGAAATGATTCTAATTGGGGTTTTTTGTACACTGTATAATAATTATGCTTGCAGCATTATGTACTGCTCTAGTATCTGCAAGGATGAAGAGCAGCCCCAAAATATTTTAATGAATACAATTATGATGATAGTGCTAATCTTTATTAAGATTGTTTGTAATGATGTTGAAGACATATTTAATGTCCTATTTCAGTTGGCCCTCTCTTGGAAAGGAGCCAAGTCTTGCTATCTTCTAGTGTGGTGTTTCTCAATCTTAACAATTGTAAGGTATGGGGAATTCAGTTTTCAGAATTCCCCAATTAGAAGTTCGTGTATCTGAAAGTTGCCAAAGTTGAGAAATACTGTTCAAGTGGCTGGAGCTACTAGAACTGTACCTTATTTACTAACTAAAGACTTTGTAGGCCACAATCTTTCAAAGAGTCTCATAGACATTCCTAGTACCTAGCAGTGGTTTTTGTGCAAAAAGCTGAAATCGCTGATAATGACATGGGCAGGTCCAGTCAGGGGCATCCAGCTGAAGATCAGACTTTTTCTTTAACTCCATTGTGAATTTTGATAAGGGCTGTAACTAACAATTCATTATTCAACTGTTTTCTAGATTTAAAAAAACTGGAGCCAAACAATATGAAATAATGAATAAATAATTGTCTTTGTTTTATCCATCTGTGACTTCACAGTGAAAAGGCTAGAGATTAGAATCAAAGGGTAAGAACTTGACATTATGCATTAAGAGTTTATACTGTCATTATTTTTTTCCTTTTCAGTTCAGATAAATTACCTCTATGTAATATTAAGAGCTGTAGTTAAGGCTGCGAATCCTGTAATATCACCTAGTCTCTGAGTTTGTTTTTTCCTCGAAGCCCATCATATACTACTGTTTATTTAATAGTTTGTGCTGAATATCAATTGGATGGATTGAAGCCTTGACTGCAGAGAGATCATTGAAAAGCAAAATAAGTCAAAGTGCAAATGAAGAATAACAGCTACAAAAATGCAGAGAAATGCTTTCCATACCAAGTACCTCACTATAAATGAAATCCAAGAATCTCGACATTGTTATGGCAACAGGATCATCAAGAACAGATATCATATCATCCTAGTTCTTATTTGTAAGACTACTTTAGTTCACTAGCAATAGAACCAACATTTGTAGCAAACCCCCCTCCCCCCATATTTTGCTGGTCATTGTGGTAAATAATAAATAAATAATAAATAAATAATAAATACCACTTTGATACGTGACAAAAGAGCAAATTTTGTATTACTTTATTTTTTTCTGGACCTCTTAATATAGTTTTGTCTTTTGTTTGCTGCTTTGGATAATATGAAATTGTATAAGCAATCAACGTTTTGTGTTTTGTGCTGCCATCTAGTGATGAATACACACATAGTGACATTTTAGAAGAAGCACAGTTCAGTTAAGGCGCCATGCTGTTTCTGTGCTGTGCTCTTGTCTTATTTTTCACAGTATACTAAAAGTAGATATTTCAGAAATTGCCTGAAGCAACAACAGTTCTGACATTTATATATCCGTTTGTTTGTGTGTTTGTTCAGATATTTTATTTCACATGAAGACTTTATCTGGGAGGTCCTCCCTGCCAGAAACTTTAGAGAAGATACTTGCAGAAGTTAGATCAAGATCCCTGCTAATATGCAATAGATTTCTCAATTATTTAAATCAGAACAGAACAGAATAACAGAGTTGGAAGGGACCTTGGAGGTATTCTAGTCCAATCTCCTGTTCAAGCAGGAAATCCCATACCATTTAAGACAAATCGTTGTGCAATTTCTTCTTAAAAACCTCCAGTGTTGGAGCAACCACAACTTCTGGAGGCAAGAGCTAGATTGACCATATTGATCAACCCATTTAATATGGTGAGAAAATAAAAGTCTATACCGAATTGGGTATCACCCAGATCAGACTGTATCAGATGTTAGAGTTCCTGGGCATTTGTCAATAAATGGGCAATGGGACTCAGGAGCAATGGCTAGCCTAGCCCTGCAGCATCACTGAAAGAACAACAAATGCACAATGCAAATGTCTACTGTGTTTGAAAACTGCACCATTATGGCCTGCTATTATAAATCAGAACCAATAAAGAGTTGGGATACTTAAAGCAAATGTTTGAACATTGCAAAAGAATTTATCCAGACTCAAATATCAATGAACAAGGATTGGCAGATCAAAGGAGATTCATCTCCCAAAAAAACCCCCAAAACATTCAGGGATTCAGAACTGCAAGAGAGTAAAAAGAAATTGTGAAAATGGGAAACCCAAAAACAATAGTAGAATATAGGTAGTCCTCGATTTACAACAGTTCATTTAGTGACCGTTCAAAGTTACAAGAGCAATAAAAAAGTGACTTATGACTCTTTTTCATAGTTACAACCTTTAGAGCATCCCCATGATCATGTGATCAAATTTCAGATGTTTGGCAATAAATACTTACGACCGTTGCTCTGTCCCAGGGTCATGTGATCACCTTTTACAATCTTCTGACAAGCAAAGTCAATGGGGAAGCCAGATTCACTTAACAACCAGGTTACTAACTTATCAACTGCAGTGATTCACTTAACAACTGTAGCAAGAAAGGTCGTCAAATGGGACAAAACTCACTTAGCAAATGCCTCACTTAATAACATAAATTTTGGGCTCAATTGTGGCCGTAAGTCAAGGACTACCTGTAATAGTAGTAGAAGAAGCTAACAGACTGAAGGCCTACTTATTTTGCTTGTGGCAAGCTCCCACCCACCATCTTGCACACACACACCCTGGTCACTGTTGTTAGAAAAGATGCTTTCAATATTGGCCTCTCCTTCTGCATGGTCTCTTGGTGATCCATCTTTTTCACTTTATCATATCCCAGGTTTCCTTTGAATGTTCTTTGTTCACTTGCTGTCTGAGAGAAGGCTCCTGGGGCTTCATTATTAGCTAAGCCAAGTGTTTGAAACTTCTACCATGCATTGGTTTTTTTTTAATGAACACATGTTCAAGTGTCAGAAGAGTGTAGACAATATGCTATAATGTGCAGTTAAGTCAGTCTCTGGCCGCAATATTTTTGGCCAACTGAAGGATGACAGGTTTTCATCTGGCTAATTTGGGGTTGAAAAGAGAATGAGATTGTCTGCAGAGCGTTTCTGTTATTGGCTGAAACTCTCTTGAGGATAAACATATATTTCAACACCAGTGAATGTGGTGCTGTACTACCAAGAAAAATCTGATGCTGTATTTCTAGTGAGTTTTTGGCCGAAACAATAAATAATCCTGAAGGCTACACTGAGTTGTATTAATGTTTACATAATAATTTAATTTAGTAGATTTAATAATACTTCAATAAATAAAAATATGTAGTCTTTGAATTACTTTGTTGAAATGGTTTCAAAGCCAATATATCCTCTCAGGATTTTAGATTTAATAGATCTGAAACCATGTTTTCCTTTTAAACTTGAGAACTGCTTTCCAAGTAGAAACAAAAATAAATACGTTCTTTAATTAAAACAGTTTTGCCATCTCTGCCAACTCCATCATCTTTCCTTGAACTTGTTAGCAGTCATGGCTGCTCAAGTCCAGTGCATTCAATCTGGCAGAGAAGGCATGCTGCGGGTCCCGTCTGCTAGGGATTTATGCTTGGCAGATCCCAGGCAGTGGGCCTTCTCTGCCTTATGGAACATTCTTCCTCTTCTCCTGAACTTAGTTTAGCTCCATCCCTGTTAATGTTCCAGAAGTCCCTCAAGACCTGGCTATGACATCAGGCTTGGGTGTCCCAGAGACCAATGACATTCTAAGATGGCTCCATCTTTGTCATTAATATCCATTCTCTCCTGTGCCTCTTGTACTTTTTGATAATGGCTAATTTATATCATGGCATCCGGCCATCTCAATTCCTGGCAAATAGATGGGGAGGAAATGGAGATAGTGACAGATTTTATCTTCCTGGACTTCAAGATCACCACAGATGGGGATTGCAGCCAAGAAATTAAAAGACGCTTGCTCCTGGGGAGGAAAGCTATGGCAAATCTAGACAGCATACTAAAAAGCAGAGACATCACCCTGCCAACAAAAGTGTGTATAGTCAAGGCCATGGTTTTCCCAGTTGCAATGTATGGCTATGAAAGCTGGACCATAAGAAAGGCTGAGCACCAAAGAATTGAGGCCTTTGAACTATGGTGCTGGAGAAGACTCCTGCGAGTCCTTTGGATTGCAAGGCGTTCAAACCGGTCAGTCCTAGAAGAGATCAACCCTGACTGCTCCTTGGAAGGCCAGATCCTGAAGTTCAAACTCAAATACTTTGGCCACCTAATGAGAAGGAAGGACTCACTGGAGAAGAGCCTAATGCTGGAAAAGATTGAGGGCAATAAAAGAAGGGGATGACAGAGAATGAGGTGGCTAAATGGAGTCACTGAAGCAGTAGGCATGAGCTTAAATGGACTCCAGAAGATGGTAGAGGACAGGAAGACCTGGAGGAACGTTGTCCATGGGGTCACGATGGGTCGGACACGACTTCGCAAATAACAACAACAATTTATATTTTTAATAATGATTGTTTTTCTATATTTATTGTTTTACTTACTTGTTGTATGCTGGCCAGAGTCACTTTTCGTGAGATGGGTGTGAGACAAGACTGAAGCTGCTTTAGCTAAAGATGAAACAGGAACAAAAGCCAATAATTTGTCTAAACATCTCTTCTGGGAGGTACTTAAGAAGGAACCAAGTTGCTAAGAAAACAAAGGGAAAAATGGGACTTAAACTAGACAAAGATAGTTGGGCTTGAGCACATTCCCTGCTCCCTAGTCCCTTCAATAGCTACCATACTTGTAAATGAATAAGACAAGAGAAATAAACCTTATTACCAGCCTTGTGAATCAAGAGTGTTTGGGGTAAAAGGGATCCCAAAGCCTTTGAGTTGTCTTTGGATCCAGACTTGGCAGCTTCCACTTCCATCCCTCTGGCTAGTCCCTAGTGCCAGCCTAGTTGAGATGGAGGTAAGTATAGATGAGCAGCCTAAGTCTTTTCCAGCTGTTGAGTAGGACTGTGTGAGTGACCATAAGCCAAACCTGGGAGCACATGTAATATGGACGGTCATATTAATTTGACTGATAAATAAATAAGTAAATAAGTACATAAGTAAGTAAATAAGTAGACGGGGTGGACAGGATATTTGTGTTTTGACACTTTTGTCAAAAGTGTCTAGGAAATATAAGATAGGACGTGTAGTGTGCCGTATGGACTTCTAACAAGTTTAAATAAATTGCATTTGTGCATTTTACATGCCCAGAGAAAATTCACATTAACTGAATATAATTGATCCTTCTAGTTCCTGATAGATTTGTGCCAGAAGTGCCAAATTCTTAACTGGGGAAAATATGGAACATATAATGAATAGAGAACAATATGTCTATTTAATATGTCAGACAGACATGTAGAGTTCATATCATTGCATTTTAGGGTGGGAAACCATAATGTAAAGGAATACAATGAGAATTAATGATCAGGAACAGTCTCTACATTTTGGCCTTATATCAAAAAGGAGATTCAAACATAAGTTTGTAACAAGAGTACCACTTAAGAAGTGGTGTTAACATAACTTAATGTTTCAGCCTTGATTATTCTGGACATTTTTATTAGTGTGATTGAACCTTAAAAATTCAAAAGAAGCACCGACAAGCTATGAAGCTCTTGGGCTTGTCCCTCTGTAGCATGGGATACTTGTATATCCAGTTATGTGACAATAAATAAACATTCAAACCATATAAAAATGAAATAAAATAAACCATCCTAGCCACTTCTGTGATATCATTCTGTGAACATCTAATTTTTTGGGTAGTTTCCAGAGCTGAGGGGCTGGGAACAAACACCTGTGGCCCCTGTTTCAAATGATACCGCAAAACAAGGAAAGCCACCAGCTTTTAACCTAAATATTATACTAATTTTTGCACATCTTGCAATTCAGACCACAGGACAAAGGAATCTAGCATTTCTCTGTGAGCCTCTTTCATGGGAGCAGAAAAGAAAGGAGGGTGTCAAAAAGAGGGGGGGGGAAATAGATGTTCCCCAAAAGTGTCTAAGAGAAAATGATTGCCCCCATCCATGGTTGCTTCAACATTCCCAGCAAACGGCATGGGACCCATCCCTGACTGCCTCTCCCACATTCTTCCCATGTTCCTGCTACTTTCAGTGGAAAATGGTTGCCTGCTCCAAAGAATTGTTGGCTTGATTCTATACAACAGCCCTTGTGTTCTTCAGTCCCTTTCCCAACGCAGGTATTAAATGTACATGGTAATTTGGGTGTCTGAAAACGCATTCCTATGAAAACACTGTTTTTCATAATTAACTCTAGGCCTCTAATCTTGCTCCTTTGGGCACATTATAGCTCAGCTGCAGAAACTAAGCTCTCCTTGTCTTCCTTCCTGTGGTATTTTTCCAAGGGAACAACACAAGAGTCGTGTGTTATCTCCCCATTCGGTGCCCAGGATGGTATCCCGCCAATAGAACTCTGTTTAATTTTACAGTCTTCACTTCAGAATAAAGTACACATGACACTTGTATTTAATTTGTTTCCAAAGGAATTAGTATTTCTGGCATGCAGAGTACAGAAGCCCACTGAATTTTTTTTGTGAAAAAAATTACTTGTTGAACAGCCAGCCATAAACAGAGGTATGACATGAGGCTTGAAACGTGAAGGATAAATATTGTTCATTTCACAAAGACATTGACATACAGGGCATAGAAACGTATTTGGTGTTTGAGCAAAACAAATAGACTGGGTTTTTATATTTTTTGTAGTTTTATTGTTGTTGTAACTTGCCCAGAGATGTACTCTAAGATGGGTATAACTGCACAAATCTTTTTAATTAATTATTGAATTACCTACAACTGCAGTGCCATTCACCTATTCTCACACTATTTATTCTAGACAACATAATTAAAGTGCTGGGATTCACAATGCAACTGGGTTCAGAATCGTAGAATTATGGATTTGGAAGGTACTGTACCTCAGAGATCATCTAGTCTAATTCTCTTCAGTGTTCAGGCTGCCCAGTCTCTCAAAAAACTCAAGAGAGGAAGTACACCAGCCAGAATTAGTAAAGCTGGGATTAACTCTATTGTGTTAGTACTTATGACTGGTATTACTAATTGCTACAGGCCACACATGTATTTTGTTTTTGCTGCTGTTTGATCCCACTATTTAGATTTTTTTTCCCTGTGCCTGCCAATTACCTTCTATCTGACTCATGAAGTGTAATCTAGTCAATGAAAGATAATGCCGTAATTATTTAATAATCATGCCAATAAGATAATGCTATAATTCCTAACCTACTGTCCATGTGGGAAGTACCCATAATTTATGGCAGGGGAGATAATATAACTGTGTATACCTTTATGTATGCCATTCAATGTAGCATTATTTTTCACCATAAATTATAATTCAATCATTATTTATTCAGTCAATGGCCAGCAAAATTTAAAAGAACAAAAACAGAGTGAAGCAAATAAATTACTAAGAACTAGCAAAATAAATCATATAATACAACATTCACCCCTCTATTACTAGGTTAATATAGTTGTTACCTGGGTAAATAAATCTAAAACATTGATAGGTAAAAAATAATATATATATATCTCCTAATAATTTATTAATTAAAATGCATCAAACCAAAAGTAATATTTGAAACCTAGTAATTAAGTCTTTAACCCATTCTATCTAACTTTCATTGCAGCAACACAACATTTAGCTATTTACATATAATGAATGGTTTTAAATCTCAAAGGAGACGATTCATATAAAATGTATTTGGCTTCTCAGAAAACCTATCTATTAGTGGCACAATGTAGATTAATCTAATGTCTTTATAAAATGCAATAGTATGCAAGATGCTAAGGAAAGAGGGGGTTTGGGTTTATCAGATTTGAAACTGTATTTTGATGTTTGTTAGTAAATGTTGATTTTAACAACCACTTTGTTAGACGTGCCATTCTAAGAGTCTACGAAGATGCCTCTTTGGGTTATCCCCCCCCAGGAAGCTTTTTTTCAGAAAAGAAATGGTGACAAAGCCGGACTGGTAGACCTATGGTAAAGTAATATCATTTAATCTTGGTGATCCTATCCTCAAGCCTAAGGAAGAGCTAGAATCAGAAGGACATGTCTGCCATTGGTTTACATATTTACAATTGAAAGAAAGATTTAAATTAGACAAAAAGAGTTATGGGTTTGACTTTGTTAAAAATGAATTGGAAATCCTACTGTGTGGTAGTGATGAAGTATTATTGCTAACGTCTATAAAAAGTTATTGAATTTGAATTTGGAAAGTGAATTTGTAAAACATTGTATGATTCAGTGGGCAATGGACTTTGGATATAGTGTAAAGCTTGAACAATGGGAGAATATGTGGACGAAAGGTTCAAAATTTACACTAAATTTTACATTAATTTAAAATAAAATTTTTATAAGATAATGTATCGTTGAACCAGATAAGTTATCAACAACATATAAAGGTACTTTAAATGAACGTTGGAAATGCAAATGTAAAGAAGGGATTTTTTATCATTTGTGGTGGACATATGATAAAGCAAAGAAATATTGAAGTAGGATTCATATCTTAATACAGAAGATTCTTAAAGTGAATATTAAAATAAAACCAGAAACTTTTCTTTTGGGTTTAATGGAAAAATTTGGAACTTTGATGTTAAATATGTTGATGGCAGCAAGATTACTTTATGCACAAAAATGGAAGGACATTGATTCCTACAATGGACAAATGGCTGCAAAAGTTGATGGAATTAGCAGAGATGGCTAAATTGACTGTACCAAAAGGACTCGTAAGCCAACACCTTTTCTTTCTTTTTTCCTTCTTTCCTTCACTTTTCCCTTCCCTTTTCCCTCCTCTATTTTTCCTATTTTATTATACCTCCTTGAAGAAGTGCAGATCGAAGAATGTTAAATCTATCTTTAAAGAATGTGATTCTCAGCTTAGAGAAAGTTAGATTTCCAGATAACTAGCTGGTTGCCATATACTTCTGTTAATCCAAATTCTATCATGTTAGGGAAACTTATTAACTTTAATATGGAGTGGCTCATCCTGTATTTCTTGAAAAATTAGTTCCGTAGTTTGATCATAACATTATGGTATTCAGTGGAGACAGCTCATATGAAGCCAGCTTATGCTCTGCAGCCTGTTTCCAGGGTGAGCTAAAGTTACTATATGTGTTAGAACTAGAGGGGTCAAACCAACTGGGGAAAAAATGCATTTTGAGCCAGTATCATCTTGAATGAATTTGCCCAGAGATGCTTCTGTTAAGAACTCAATATAAATTAAAAACTCAAGAATTATTACAAATATATGCATTTTACATATGTCTTGAGAGAAGTTTGTTTAAATTTGTGTAAAAAGAAGTTGTTTAGGAGAATCCACAATCAACAAGTCATAATACAAGACTGTCAGCCCTGGTTCTGCTGTTGGGCAAGCAGAAGATGATGTAAAGAAATCTCTGCAGGCCTCCTACCGTTTTCCAGTAGGTGCGCTTGCTTCTCTCCCCAGGCCTCCTTGGAAGTAGCTTGTAACCTCAGAAGGGGGCTGAGGCTGTCAGACTCCTTTCTAGTGTCAACCTAAGATTCAGCTGCCACCTGGCTCAGTTTCTTTATATGGAACAAGTGGACATTTGATATCTCTTTCCTTCCCTGGGACATTCAAATGACTGAAGTCTCTTTCTTAGCTTAGGCAGGATTTGAAGCTCATAAACAAAACAAAAAAACCCCTTTACTTATACACTGTTCTCTTCCCAACAATACATGTTCTTCTGTCTCTCTCAATCTCTCCTCTCTCCCCCCTTTTTTTCCTTTGGGCTTTCTAGTACAATCAATAACTTACCTTTTTTTAAGGTACAAGGGCAATCACAAAGACAGGTTAAAAGAGAATGTAAAAGAACAAATCTCCTCCTTATTTGCCTGAACTTTCAATCTGTTGGCTTTCTTTCTGAATATTCA